GGCGGGCGGCTCTGCCTCTGCCCGCTGTGCAGCAAGCTGTTTCCCGGCGCCCGCGTGCTGCAGCTGCACCTCAGCGCCCACTTCCGCGAGCGGGACGGGGTCCCGGCCCGGCTGTCCCCTGACGGGGCTGTGCCCACGTGCCCGCTCTGCGGGAAGACCTTCTCGTGCGCCTACACGCTGAAGCGGCACGAGCGGACGCACTCGGGCGAGAAGCCCTACACGTGCGGGCAGTGCGGCAAGGGCTTCCAGTACTCGCACAACCTGAGCCGCCACGCCGTGGTGCACACGCGGGAGAAGCCGCACGCCTGCCGCTGGTGCGAGCGCCGCTTCACGCAGTCCGGGGACCTGTACCGCCACGTCCGCAAGTTTCACTGTGGCCTCATCAGGTCCCTGCTGGTGTGATGCGGCCCTCCCAGGAGGGACGCTGGGATGGAAGCCCCCAGGCCGGATGCTCACCTCGCCGACAGAAAGAATCTGGTTGTTTTTTCCTGGAACGTGCCCCAGACGCCACGCGGGACCGCAGCCTTCCTCTGGCCTGGCCTCCCCTCCCTGAGGCCCTGCAGCTCACCCTTGCCCTGGGGCTTTGCCCTGTTCAGACTGTGATACCATCTTCCTCTCCCGACCTCCTCCAGCCAAGCTCTGAGCTGTATTCGGCTGCCCCTGACTTCTACCCCGGTTCCTGGGTGTCCTCTGTCCCAGGGCTTTCCTGACCACCTCTCTGGCATGCTGGGGGGCGGGGGGCGGGGTCCTTGTGAGGCTGGCACCATGCTAAGTGAATGACTCACATGTCAGAAAAGTTGGTGTGAGTCCCCGGTGGGGTGCTTGGAGGGAACAGGCCACTCCTGGTGGGTGGCAGCAGGAACCCCTGCCTGGAAAGCCCAGGGCACAACAAGAGCCAGCAGGGGCCATCTGGGCACAGCTGGTATCCTGGGGGGAGGGGAGGGTGCTGCCCCAGCAGGGGTCCCGGGGCGGCAGAAGGAGAACCAGCTCGCAGCAGAGTGGCTTGAAGATACAGGTACTGGGGTGGGATGTGGCCCTGAGAGTGTGCAGTTGTGCCCGTACCGTAAGAGAAGGTGGAGGTTTGGAAACGAATTCTCCCTAGACCTAGAAAGAGCACCCCCAGTGGCCGGATGTCTGCTGGTGGGCGACCAGGAATGCTGCTTCTGTACCCAAGTGCCAGGTCTAGGGTGGGGCACAGGGGCTGATCTCTGTGTCCCAGGCTGCTGCTGGGCCATAGGGGGATCTCACCCCAAGGGTCACTCTGCTGTGACTGTTTCCAGAGGACTGAGCAGGGGCAGAAGGCTGCTCTGCTGGCCAGAAGCCAGGTTTGCAGGGCTCCCCTTCCCCACCTGGGGTGTGGGTGAGAGTGGCCATTGAGGAGGGAGTCAGGCAAGGGCTGGAATCCAGACCCCCACCTTTCCCTGGGGGCTGATATTCTAGAGCATGAAGGACCCCTGTGTTTGCAGCTGGTTCTGGTCACCCTGCCTTGCCCACCCACTCACCAAGCAAGTCTTGCTGCTGGAGCCTCGCTGGTTGCTGCAACAGGCTAGAGCATGCTGGGTGGCCTGACTTCTGGGGGTCAGCAGGTAGCAGAGCTGCCCGGACACCTGGTTTGCCCCAGGCCACCTGGATACCCGCTGTGACTGGGAGTGGCCCTGAGGACAGAGTCATGTCTAAGTAGTTTTCTCTTCTCCTGACAACACTTGATGTTCTATTTATGTCTCCCTAGTCGAGTGAAGTGACAGACCCCTCGCATGTCCTGGGCTTCTGCTGTGCTGGGGGCCAGTGTCCCTTGTGCTGCTTCAGGCTCAGAGGCCCCAAACTGACTTCCGATTAGCCTGGCCCCGACCCCATCCCTGGAAGGACGGGTGGGACTTGGTGCTTGGTGTGGGGAGTTCCGTGTGTGTGCGTGTCCTTGTGTGTCCAGCACATGCTGGTGCCCTGCAGGGGGCTGGGGTGGCAGCACCGCTAAGCCGGGAGACGGGGCTGTGGCACATACTCCCCCTCCCAGTGGTTTTCGTAGAGGAAGAGCTTCCCTCTCCCGGCCGGGCAGCCACCCTGAGTTCTTAACACTGGATTCGTTGTCTTCCGCACATGAATGAGTTCGTCACTGTGAAGTTCACGTAAAGAGAAGTAATCAGTTGTCATGTGGCTGCTGCAGTTGGAATGAAGTGTATACATGCACTTGTATTTAAGACACTATTGTGTGGAGTGTGGTAGAGAAGCATGTAGATGCGTGTCTGTGGGCCCCTCTGTGGGGTCTCCCCACCCCACTGGCTCTGCCCCTGGGGTCGGGACAGCTCAGTGACCCGAGAGAACAGTTGTCCGTGCTTAGCATCTGGTAGCGTGGGCAAGAGTGTCCTCTCCCGGATTCACGTAATGACAGTGATAATAAAGTCCACCCCAGATGGACATAGCCATGGTCGTTCCTGGGAAGGGGAGGCAGGGCATGCAGTGGCAGTAGCATGGCCCTGTTGGTCTGGGGTCCTGGGCGCAGAAGAGGCTGGGCCGTGGAAGAGGGCCTGGTGGGCAGGGGCACTCTGGGAACCCTTTCTCAGATGCCATCTCAGGCTCATGCGGGGAGGGTGGGCTGGGGCAGGGCGGCGGCCGCATGCCTCTCCTCTCTCCAAGGTTGTCCCCACCACTGGAGTTTGGGGGGAGTTCCAGGGAGGCAGGTCTGTGTTAGGGAGGGGCAGGATGCGGCTGGCATGGGAGCAGAGGCCACAGTGGCTCCTGCCCGGGGAGGAGGCTGCACCCTTGGAGGAATCCGTGAGCTGTGCAGGGCGCCATAGGCCCAGGCCCTGGATCTGAGACTGCCTGCTTCTGTGGCCCTAGGTCCGCCTGTCCCCCGCCTTCCGAAGGCACCCCCATCTCCCCGGCCCCCCACCTCTCTCTGCTTCCCCTCTACCTCATTTACAGCCCCCCGCACTGGGGTGGGATTGGGCCCCCAAGGTCCAGTTTGGACAAGAGGTGGCAAGGCCCAGGGGCCACTGTGTCCCTCCTCTGCCATGCTGCGTCCTTGGGGCCTCCCTGGTGGGTGGCTATGCGCTTGGCCCCTCAGGGGTGGAGAGGCACAGGCATGTCTAGAGGGTGGCTCTGGGCTGCTGGGACCCTGTCTGCCAGTTCCATCCTCCTCCTCCACCCTGCGCCCCCTGCTGGGGCATCAGCCAGTCTGCATGGGCCTCCACATGTGAGCTTCACCCAAGTACCCACTAGGCTTGAGAGGAACCTGGGTAGACCTCAAGCTCAAAGTCAGGCGGGGGCTGCGATTGCCAGGGTTTTCCAAAGGCCAGGCCGAGCTGGTGCTGGGATGGCCTGCAGCTCTTGGGCCAGTCCTGAGCCCAAATGCAGATCCTTGCTTTGCACGCCACACCCCAACTTTCCCCCCATCCCCCTTGCCTCCTGCTGAGCCTGGGCCAGTGCCACTGTCCTGAGGGAGGCCCTGTCATGTTCCCAGTTGGGCCTGTGACTCAGCCCAGGCCTCCTCAACCTGCCAGGAGGCGGAGGCTGTTGCCATGCCATCCAGGCAGGAGAGCCGGGTGGGCTCCTACCCCCTAGGGAGGAGGGGGCTTACTGGAACCCTCCAGCCTGCCCAGCTTGGCCACACTGTGCCTACACCAAAGCTGCCAGCCCCATTCCTGGCTAGGGTGGGCCTCCTGGCATCCTCTCTCAAGGTCCTCATGGTAAACTGAGGCCTGTGGAAGGGCCTGGCTCTGGCCTGCAGTCCCAAAGCCAGTTGGTGGCAAATCCAGGACTTCCTTCCAGAAACTCAAAGAACCTCAGCTGTTTGTCCAGGATGTTGGGTACGGGTTCCAATCTGTGAGGGCAAAGGGGTGGGGCAGGACAGCAAGGACAGGACCAGAGGGTGGGATGCCAGGGCAAGAGGGGTTCCCAGGCCCACCCCCCGGAAGGCTGATCTCTCAGGAGCCTCAGAGACAGGTATGGCATGTCAGAGTTCAAGGTCAAGTCAGCACATGCAGGTGCGTGAGCCCACCGCATAGATGCAGCTCTGGGGAGGCTGCTGGGTTAGAGAAGGTTGCAGCCTCCCCCCTCCACCTCCAGCCCCTCATTTTGGAGCAGCTGAGCTGCCACCCGCCCACCCGGTCTCACTTTTCCCAGTGGTCATGAATGGCACCAAATCCTTCCTGGCACAAGGTGTTCATCCCACAGACACCAGGAGCCTTAGGACAAACCAGCCAGGCAGATGGCTCCAGCCCTGGCCGTGCAGCTTGGAGGGGTGGACAGCAGGCCCAGCTCTGCCCTTGCCTTCTGTGGCTTCTCTCATACCCACCTCAGTCCCATCACTGTACACCAGACAAGCCAGACCACCCCTCATCATGGCTATCATCACCTCCATCACCCCCACAGAACTATACCACCACCCCGCCATCACCTCCACCCCCGCCATCACCTCCACCTCCACCATCACCTTCACCTTCACCATCACCCCCACCACAACCTTTACCATCACATCCACTATCACGCCCACCACATTTACCATCGCCTCTAGTCTTCACCATCACCTCCACCACCAATCACCTCCACCTCCAGCATCCCCACTACCTCCATGTCCGCTACCACTGTCTTCACTATCCTTATGCAGCCAATATCACTACCACCATCTTTATGGAAGATCCCTCAGAAGTGGACCCAACTCCAGGCCAGCTTTCAGACTGAGGGAGCAGGGCTTGAGGAGTGGTTGGAGAAAGGGGTGCCGTCTGCCCTCCTAACTGGGTGGAGCTTCAGTGTCTGCACTTCCCTCCTCTGAGCTCTGAAGTTCCAGGTTTGTTTTGTTTTGTTTGAGATGGAGTCTCACTCTGTTGCCCAGGCTGGAGCGCAGTGGCACGCTTATGGCCACCCCAGCGTCGACCTGCTGGGCTCCAGTGATCCTTCCGCTCTAGCCTTCCAAGTAGCTGGAACTACAGGTGCGTGCTTCCACGCCCAGCTAATTTTTTGATTTATTGTAGAGACAAGGTCTCTCCAAGTTGCCGGGGCTAGTCTCAAACCCGCAGGCTCAGGCAATCCACTTGCCTCAGCCTCCCAAAGAGCTGGGATTACAGGCTGAGCTACCGAGCCTGGCCCTAGGTTTGTTTTTTATTTTTGTAGAGACAAGGTCTGGCACTGTTGCCCAAGCTGGTCTCAAACTCCTGGCCTCTGGTGGCCTTCTCACTCAGCCTCCTGCATACCTGGGATCATAGGCATGCACTACCACACCAGGCTGTCCAAGGGCCCATTTCCAGCTTTCCTGCCTCTCCTCCTTCATGCCCACCCAGAAAGAAAACACTCTGTGCCTTCTCCAACCATCACCTGCACCACAACCAATATACAGAAGAAAACACTCTGTGCCTTTGCAAGTAGGTCTACATGTCTCCAGGCGCACATGTAGAAAGCAGTCCTTCTCTGCT